CCTTCCCGCTGCCTCCGCTCATCAGAAGCCAACCTCCTATCCATCCCCACCCGCACCAATCACCGGACCTGGGGGGACAGAGCCTTCTCCGTCGCTGCCCCCTCCCTCTGGAACTCACTCCCACAACCCATCAGAGACTGCACCAACCTCACCACCTTCAAAAAACTCACAAAAACTCACCTCTTCAATCTGGCTTTTCATGTGTGATTGTTTTGTATTATTTGACTTTAGCTTTAACTATATATTTATTTGTTGTTCCTTTCTTCTCTTTTCTTTTCTCTTCACTATTATCTGTAAAGCGTCTTTGAGCACCTGTAAAAGTGCTAACAAATTAAATCTATTATTATTATTATTATTATTGAACCAGAGTGGGCGTTGTTCAAAGCCTCTATTGCTGAAGCCGGGGAGCTGTGGTCTCAAGGTCTGAGGTGCCTCAAGGTAACCCTCGAACCTCCTGGTGGACCCCGGTGGTCAGGGGAGCCGATCGACTGAAGAAGGAGGCCTTCAGGGATATGTTATCCCGGGGGAGTCCTGAGCCAGTCGCAAGGTACCGACGGGCCGAAGGACAGCAGCCTCAGGCAGAGCAGGTGGTGGTTATAGAGGCATCACACCACTCAGCCTTCCTGGGAAAGGTTACTCTAAGGAACTGGAAAGGAGGGTCCGGCCCTTAGTGGAATCTCAGATTGAGGAGGAACAATGCAGATTCTGTCCTGGTCGTGGTGCTGGAAGTACGCTTATCCGGTCTACATGTGTTTTGTGGATCTGGAGAAGGCGTATGACCGGGTTCCCAGGGAGATACTGTGGGGGGTGCTGCGGGAGTATGGGGTGAGGGGGTCTCTACTCAGGGCCATCCAATCTCTGTACCGGGCCATTCTCATCCTACCTTCACCTCGTCATGAAGGATGGGTCATCACCAAAAGAACGAGATCCAAGGGTACAAGCGGCCGAGATGGCTTTCCTCCGCAGCGTGGGGGCCTCTCCCTTAGTTGTATTGAAATAATATCTAATATATGAATGTTCTACCTGTGTGCAGGTGTGGTGTGAGACCAACCTGCGTCGCTGCATCAGTAAATTTCACCGCTTCGTCTGCGACTCCTGCGACCGAGCCTTCCCTCTGAGATCTGCACTGGAGCTGCACAAGACCACCTCCCACCCCGAGGAACCAGAGGAACTTGAGGATCTAGAACCAGATGAACCAGATGAACTAGAGGAACCAGAGGAACCAGAGGAGAACCCCAACAGTGAGGAACCAGAGGAGGAGGATGGATCTCCTGAAGGACAGCAGAGCGACTTCCTGCAGGCGCTCGGGCTGCAACACGTCTCCACGGTGAGTCAGACACTCTTTATCTGAAGATCACATGAAGTTAAAGTGTTCAAAGTTATTTGTATAAATAAGTAGATTGCAAGATGACAAACAGATGGGTTTTGAGGCGGACTGGGAGTCATGAGACAAGATAAAAAGTACTTGATTGATTGATTGAAAGTGCCCCCTCCCTCAGGTGATCCACGGCCCGTCAGCTGACGAGGTGCATCAGGCTCACCTGGACAGCATCAAGGTGATCCAGGTGGCCCCGCCCCACTTCCTCTCTGGGGGGCTGTCCCTCCCCCTGATGGATGCCATGAGCCTCCTACAGCCCTTCCTCCCCCCCCCCGCCTTCCTAATGCCGGACGGGGGGGCAGCGGCCGCCTCGTCTGGGGTCAAACCTGGAGAGGAGCTCGCCGACATCCAGCAGATCCTCAGGGGGGCGAGTCTCGGTCTGCCCGGCAACAAGGCTGCAGCGCTGCCTGGGGGCCACGGTGGGTACTGCACCATGTGTTCGAATCGACCAATCAGAATGGAGTATTCTAATCGGAGTAATAATATATAATAACCCTCTGTTTCTTTAGGCTCGCTGCAGAAGTCGATGCCCCC